CTTTTTTATGTAAAACGATCTTGTCTTTTGTCAAAATATTTTGTACATATTACCATTAGCGGTTTACTATTTATTGAATATCCCGGGATAAAGTCTCTCACCATTTCCCTCCTTTTCAGTGACTTAATTAATAAGTTGATAAATTGCGCTTCCGTTCGACGTTTACATCGAATCCTTTAAACTAAGATATAAGTAAACAGCATTAACCGAAAAAACGAGCATTTGGATATTAGTTCTTATGAAGATGGCCATGTAGGTCAAATGTGGAAATGCTTCAAAACAGCAAACCACATTTTCGAGCATACAAAACGTCTGCTGGATACCACGCCTTTTGTTATTCCTACGATTCATAAAAAAACTTTTATAATAGGTTACCTCTGTAAAAAAGTGCTTTCATTGGATATTTAGCTGACTAACTTCTGTGCCTGTTAACTTTTTTACAATGTAATGTCACAGTGTAATTGGAGACTTTTGGCGATTTCTTCAATTCACCTAAATAAAAACGATTAAATTTGACCGGAGATGAAAGGCCATACTTTTCCGCCTAGGGGGATTTATTTCACAATCCGTAATAGGCTTGCGAATGCAAAAAAACACTCCAAATATATGAACATTTTTTGAAATACTTATTATACTTCTGTCTTTTCCGTTTCTAAATAATGTTTGAGCGAAACGTATTGTTTACAAAAAACTATATTTCTACATGACTTAAATTCAATAAGGCCTTCTATATATTGACTTTGCGGTAACAAATGGACAGTTTGCTTACGCGCAAGGCCAGCGGTGCGGTAAAAGAAAATGTTCTACAAAAAAAACGTTTTTATTATTGCATTTTGTGCAAACAAATATTCACAGAATAGCTAAACATAATTTTGAAAACTTAAATGCATGCTTGTTTCTGCAAACAAGACTACTCCTTAAACTTGGCTTCACTTCCATTTGATCAATTTCGCACAAATTTTTCAAGTTCTGGAAGGAATTATTATTCCACCTTTTTCCCACTGCACAATATATATTAGTAAAAATTTTGGTTATGTCGTACCTTATAGCATAGGAAATTTCTTTAATGTAAACTTTCTCGTGATTTAGCCGAAATGAGTACCCATTGCCCTCAATAGTTTTACCTAAGATGGCACTAGTCCAAACTAAAGCATTTCTACTTGCCAAATCCACTCAGTTGATCAAATTAACCTGTCCGACTATATGCCATACTACCAAGTTTAATTTCGTCATGAAAGTTGGTTGCAGGATTGGCAGGACTGTATATACGTTTTCCGGATCTATGTTAAGAAACATTAATTTTTTTGAGGAATAAATGAGAAAACACGGTAGTTGAGTGAATGCGAGTAGTTGAAATTCTTAGTATTTGGCAAAGAAGAAATTTACCAATTGTGATTTAAAGACCAGAATCTTATCTGAAGCTTTACAAATATATAGACCAAAACCATTCTCGAGAAATATTAAGAAGAACTTGCCACTTAATACGTAATTTCTGAATGTTATATGTTCCAACGGAAAGCGAATTACTAAGATGACTTTTCGTTTTCTGCATATTGGCCGGAAAAAGTTAATGGTTTTGTGGAACGAATCCGATAAAAGAATAGTCGAAGGAATGCGGCTAGTTTCAAGGGTATGCCATTGGTAAGGAAATTGAAAAATGTTTCATTGTGTCGAAACTATTACTTAACTCCAGCAGGGATGGCTCGTTGCTTTGTCAGTTGAAATCCAGAATATGATGAATATATGAACTTTGCTGAACTGGTAGGCGAAAAATTAATTTTCGCTTCGCTTGGGACCTCACAATTGGAGCTCGCGTAGGCAGTCACATAGTGACTATGAGGATGGGATGGAATGGATACGAAAGAGCAAATGGCGACCGGAATGGCCATTTCTGGCTTGTGAGCTATCCGATCCTCATGGTCACTATGTGACTGGCTACGTGAGCTCCAATTGTGAGCTCGGAAGCGAAGCGGAATTTAATTGTTCGTCTACCAGATCGGCGAAGCCCATATATTCAGGAATGCTTTTTCTAGTATGTGTAATGTCCCACGGAAGAAATGAAAGCCAAAAAATGAGCACATACTGGTACGAATCAAAGCGTCTTATACTACGAAAAACCAGTCTTGTCTATGCAAAAGAACCTCTTAATGTGTACCGTTGTCAAATATCGATTAACTGCCTGCAATCCTCACCCCTCTCGCTGGCAGCGTTATATTACTCGAAATTCGCCATATTACCAAGCCAGGCTTGACTTTCGCTCATCACTAACTTGTTTTACCCGAATCTCTAGATAATTAACCTATAGCAAGCTTACTTTCACTAAGTATACTTTTTTACTTCTCACTTGGGAATTGTTGCGATTGTATCTGATCAGTATAGAGCGAGCGTATTTGTCACGGGCTGCTTTAATTCGATGTGAGTAACGTCATGAGCCTACAGAGTCAGCCATTATCCTCGCATTGGCTGTTCCCTTTAGTGAGCCTTTATCAGACAAGCCAATCCTGAAGTATACAATTGTGTTACCTGAGAAGGTAGAACTTGATTGGCCAAATCACCATACATAAGTACGACAATTGCTAACATTTAGTTGCCTACCCTCAGTCTAAAATGCTGTCGTTTATTCCTATCTTTTTTTTCAGCGTTACTCCAGGCTTCGCCTGTTTTAGCAACTCTGGTAGGCGAAAGGCTTATTATTTATGTTTCACAAATACTGCAATTTGTAACATTAACAACTCGGACAACGGGAAATAACCAAATGACTCTTTTTTTATCACACTGCAGAACGAAGAAAATGTGCAGGAAGCGAAGCTTATGAGGATGTTGTACAGAAGCTCGTGGATCCGATCACAGAGGCTAAAGACCTATTTCTGAATCCATGGACTACATTTGAAATGAGCATTATTGCGGCAAAGGTGAGGCCGGAGTGCCGCACTGTTCAAAATAAAGCGCTCTTCAGCGAAGTCTGGTGTAGTATTCAGACCATCGGTGTTGATATCCTTATTCAGCGGATGTAAGTTAACCAGACACTAAAGATTCATTTAGTTCTTAATCGATGCAATTTTCTCAAAGACCTCTCCTCTTATGCCTTGGTATTCAGAAATATGTAAGTGTGGTACAAATTAATATTGGCTTCACTCTTAATAATCAAACTCTTCCGCGTTTTGACATTTAAGGGCAAAACGTACGCCTCTCTTGGACTCACCCACCTACGGGGCAGAATATGTTGAGATTTCCATTCCGGGAGCAGTGCTCAATGCCAGGCTGGAGGAGGCTCTGTTGCAGAAAACCTCCTATTGGAAACAGGTCGTGCGGCTTGCTGAACTCAATATTCAAAATATCAGCTCCATCATTGAGGCACACAAACTTTCTATTCCCAAGGTAGAATTAAGTGCCTGGAAGTCTAGGACTCTTAAGAACACTGGAAGACTTCTCCAAAAGGCAGTTCTTCAGCGCAGAGTGGAGCACTGTCAATGGCTTTCATATTTCTTCTGATCCATCTCTATGGGGACCCTTACTGTCATTTAACTATCCCTTTCAACAACACTGTCTTATTGGATATTGGTTTTTTTTAAAGGCATATGTCTGAGGTGAATCCATACAGCATTATTTTGCATAAATTTGAGGTGCTTGGTGTTGGTAATAAACATTGTTGCGGTGCTTACAGCTTTTTATTTACTAGTTTTTGGGCGGCACAGGACTTCTCTAAACCGAAGGTCTACCTAGCGTATGACCATCATAAATGCGGGAACATCGGATGCGACTAGATTACCTGTTGCGCGTGGTAGTGTGACTTGGAGGGATCACAGTGTGTATTCGGCACCAATGGTCGAAGCAGACCTACTGCGGAAGGGAATGACAAAGACATTACAACAGACTGATTCGAAGGGTAGTGCACCAGCCTGCTTCAATTCAAATTTGGTAAGTGCGGTTACAGAATATATAGTTTCTAGCTAGTTTTCTGTCAGACATTTGTGACTGCAGTCCCCAAATAATGAGAAGTTTTCCAAGAAGGCTGCCTTACCAGTGTCTAAATCATGAAGTCGGTTCCTATAACCGAACCTTCACATAGCGGATGCCCGCAGATGTGCGCGGATGACTATGGTAAAATCTGACGCGAATGGTTTG